GTTCCTCACTAAGTACTTCCCTGCCGATCTGAAGAGAAAGAAGGAGATTGAGTTCTTGGGTCTAGAGCAAGGGAGTTTGTCAGTGGGCGAATATGCAGCAAAGTTTGAAGAACTGGCAAGATACTGCCCCTACTATGATATGGATGCAGATGGGAGGTCCAAATGTGCCAAATTCGAGGTTGGTTTGAGGCCAGAGCTTAAGATAGCATTTGGGCATCAAGAGATAGCAGATTTCCCTACCTTAGTCAATAAGTGTAGGATGTATGAAGACGATCGAAAGGCTAGGGATGCAGGCAAACAGAAGGCTAATCCACCCAGAAACTTTGGGCCTTAGAGGAATTTCGTGCATGGGAAAGGGAAGGGTAAGGCATCCTTTGACAACCGACGGCCTTATACCCCACCTATTGGATATCGGGGCTCTTCTATACCAGGGTCTAAACCTCCAACTACTCCTAGCGGACAGCAACCACCTTTGTGCAACAAGTGTGGTAGGACTCACTTGGGTGACATATGTCCCGGAATGGGAAATGGGTGCTTCTATTGTAAGGAGCCCGGACACATGAAGAGGTTTTGTCCTAAGCTGAATAAGAATGTCAACCCTCCGAATGCTGAGAGGCCCAAGACTAATGGCAGAGTGTTCACTATGAATGGTTCTGAAGCCGTAGATGCTGATGGCCTCATCCAAGGTAGTTGTGTGGTGAATGGTACCTCCTTATGTGTGTTGCTTGATTCGGGTGCCACTCACTCTTTTATATCTTGCGAATGTGTGAAACGTTTGAACTTGAAAGTTGATGTGTTGCCTTTTGATTTGATGGTTTCCACACCTACAAATGCACCTGTTGTAGTGTCGACCTTCTGTCACAAGTGTCCCGTGGTAGTATACGATAGAACCTTCTTGGTAGATCTGATATGTTTGCCACTATCTCAAATCGATGTGATTCTGGGTATGGACTGGTTATCTGAACATAGAGTCTTGCTCAATTGTTTTGACAAGACTGTCATGTTTGGGAATGCTAGTGAGATGTCTGACACTCCTAATGATCCGAAATTGTTATCGGCCCGTGAGGTTGAAACTTCCCTTAAGGAAGGAGCACTAGTTTGTCTATTGCTTGCTTCTTTGGAAGGGGAGAAGAAGTCAGAGATGAATGACTTGCCGGTAGTATGCGAATTCTCGGATGTGTTTCCCACGGAAATTCCTGAGTTACCACCAGTTAGAGAAGTGGAGTTCTCGATCGAGCTGGTGCCTGGGACTGGACCTATCTCGATAGCTCCGTATAGAATGGCTCCTCTAGAGTTGGCGGAATTGAAGAAGCAGATAGAAGACTTATTGGCTAAGAAGTTTATCCGTCCGAGTGTTTCACCTTGGGGTGCACCAGTCTTGTTGGTCAAGAAGAAGGATGGTTCCATGAGGTTGTGCACTGATTACCGGCAGCTGAATAAGGTCACAATCAAGAATCGTTATCCTCTGCCTAGGATCGATGACTTGATGGGCCAGTTGAAAGGAGTCGTAGTGTTCTCAAAGATCGACCTTCGGTCGGGTTACCATCAGTTGAGAGTTCGGACAGAGGATATTCCTAAGACTGCTTTCAGAACGAGATATGGACACTATGAGTATCTGGTGATGCCTTTCGGTGTAACTAATGCTCCTGCAATCTTTATGGAGTACATGAATAGGATTTTCCATCCTTATCTGGACTCGTTTGTGGTAGTCTTTATTGACGACATCTTGATATACTCGAGAAGTTGGGAGGAACACACTGAACATTTGAGGACGGTATTGAAGATTTTGAGAGACAACCAGTTGTATGCTAAGTTGTCGAAGTGTGACTTTTGGCTTGAGTCTGTGAACTTTCTTGGACATGTGAGAACCAAGGAAGGAGTTGCAGTAGACCCCTCTAAGGTGGAAGTAGTAATGGAATGGGCAGTGCCGAAGTCAGTGACAAAGTTCCGGAGTTTCCTTGGACTAGCGGGATACTATCAGAAGTTTATTGAAGGATTCTCGAAACTAGCCTTGCCCTTGACTAGGCTGACCAGAAAAGGAGAACCTTTCGTGTGGACAGTCCGATGTGAAGAGAGCTTCCAAGAATTGAAGCGAAAGCTAACCTCAGCACCAGTGTTAAGGTTGCCCTTCTCAGAAACGAATTTCAATGTGTATTGCGATGCTTCTAAACAAGGTTTGGGCTGTGTGTTAATGCAAGAAGGGAAAGTGGTTGCTTATGCTTCGAGACAATTGAGACCCCATGAGCAAAACTACCGTACTCATGATTTGGAGTTAGCAGCAGTAGTGTTTGCCTTAAAGATTTGGAGGCACTATCTCTATGGTGTACGGTTTGAAGTCTTCAGCGATCACAAGAGTTTGAAGTACTTATTTGATCAGAAGGAGCTGAATATGAGGCAAATGAGATGGATGGAATTTTTGAAGGATTATGACTTTAGCCTACAATATCATCCTAGTAAGGCTAATGTGGTAGCGGATGCGTTGAGCCTTAAATCCTTGCATATGTCTGCCCTTATGGTACACGAGATGAAAATGATTGAGGAGTTTCGGGATTTGAACTTAGCAGTAGAAATGAAGCCGAAGAGTGTAGTGTTGGGAATGCTCAAGGTGACTAATGAGTTCTTTGATCGAATCAAAACCATGCAGTTGTTTGATGATGAATTACAGGTCAAGCGAGCATTGGTAGGTGACGACGAAGAGAAAGACCTTCAGATTGATAGTAATGGTTTGCTGAGGTATAAAGGAATGATTTGTGTGCCACAAGATACAGAGTTGAGAAGAGATATTCTAGACGAGGCACACAAGAGTAAGATGAGCATTCACCCGGGGACAACAAAAATGTATCATGACTTGAGGAAGATGTTTTGGTGGTCTGGAATGAAAAAAGATGTAGCTCAGTACGTGTCTAGTTGCCTAAATTGTCAAAAAGCTAAGATTGAGCATCAGAGACCAGCGGGAGAACTTCAGTCATTGGAGATTCCAGTATGGAAATGGGACAGTATCTCTATGGACTTTGTTTCTGGTTTTCCGAGAACACAGAAAGGTTATGACTCAATTTGGGTCATTGTCGACCGATTGACCAAGTCTGCACATTTTCTACCGGTTAATGTGAGGTATTCTTTGGAACGGTTAGCGGAGTTGTACATAAAGGAAATAGTGAGATTGCATGGGATTCCAGCGAGTATCGTATCGGATAGAGATCCTCGTTTTACTTCGAATTTCTGGAATGACTTACAATCTGCTCTGGGCACTAAGCTGAAATTGAGTTCGGCTTATCACCCACAAACAGACGGTCAGTCGGAGATGACGATTCAGTCCTTGGAAGATTTGTTAAGGGCATGTGTGTTAGAACGACCCGGGAGTTGGGACAGTATGTTACCTCTGATTGAATTCACGTACAACAACAGTTTCCACTCGAGTATTGGAATGGCACCTTACGAAGCTCTATGAAGTGTAGGACTCCGATCAGTTGGTTTGAAACCGGAGAGAATTTGGTATTGGGACCTGACGTGGTCCAAGAGACAACCGAGAAGATTAGGCGAATCAGAGAGAATATGAAAACAGCTCAGAGTAGACAAAAGAGCTATTATGATAATCGAAGGAAGCCGATTGAATTTCAAGAAGGAGATCGTGTTTTTATGAGAGTGGTTCCTACCACCGGAATTGGTCGAATATTGAAAACCCGAAAGCTTACTCCGAGGTTCATTGGACCGTATCAGATTTTGAAGAGAATCGGTCTTGTTGCTTATCAGATCGCCTTGCCACCGTTGTTGTCTAATCTTCACAATGTATTTCATGTATCTCAAATAAGGAAATACATTGGGGATCCAACCCATGTTATCGAACCAGATTGGATACAATTGAAGGAGAACTTGACCTTCAGGACTCCTCCGATAAGGATTTTGGACAGAAGTGTCAAGAGGTTGCGTGGGAAGGAGATTCCTTTGGTTAAGGTATTATGGAGTCAAGTAGATACGGGTGATGCTACTTGGGAAGTGGAGCAGAACATGAGAATGGATTATCCGCATTTGTTCGATGCAGGTATGTTAATTTTCGGGGACGAAAATTCTTTGAGGTGGGAAGGATTGTAACATCCTGATTTTTTAGTCTTTAAATTATAGTATCAGTCCTGGAAGTCTCGCTTGAGCGAGAGATTCTCGCCTGAGCGAGAAAGGATCACATGGGAGGGTGAAATCCTGGACTATACTGGAGGATTCTCGCCCGAGCGAGAGTTGTCTCGCCTGGGCGAGAAATGACAATTTTGGGCTGTTAACACAGTGTAATCGATTACATAGTACTTGTAATTGATTACATGCTGATATCTGATCAGACATGTGTAATTTTTCATGAAGTAATCGATTACATCATATAAGAGTATCAGATATGCGTAATTTTTCATGATGTAATCGATTAAACTGTGCATGTAATCGATTACATCATGTAAAAATCTCAGATTCGCCACTGTGAGATTCTCGCCTGGGCGAAAATCTCTCTCTTGAGCGAGAGTCTAAAATCTGAAAACCTAAAATAGACGTCCCACGTGAGGATACGGGTCACTTTTCGAAAAACAAAGAGAGTAGGGACGGTTTGAGGAGTAGTGCACCCTTAGAGTCAAAGAAGAGATCGAAGAAGAGACCCTAAGGTTGGAGGAGACGGCGGAGAACGCAACTGAACTTGAGTGTAAAGCTTTAGCGGAAAACTCAGGTGAGGGAGCAACATTAAACCTTGTGGTATTGGGATGATAATCTTGGAAAACTCCAACGATACTCACTAGTTGGAGGATTTCGTTTGGTTAACACGGTTAAACGGGAAATCTCATGAGTTTCCTATTTAACCGCATTAGTCCTACTGTTGTGAAAGGATTTTGACCTGCCTTCGTGGTATGGATTTTGACCTGCCTTCGTGGTATGGATTTTGACCTGCCTTCGTGGTATGGATTTTGACCTGCCTTCGTGGTATGGATTTTGACCTGCCTTCGTGGTAAGGATTTTGACCTGCCTTCGTGGTATGGATTTTGACCTGCCTTCCTGGTATGGATTTTGACTTGCCTTCGTGGTAAGGATTTTGACCTGCCTTCGTGGTATGGATTTTGACCTGCCTTCGTGGTACGGATTTTGACATGCCTTCGTGGTATGGATTTCGGATACGCACTTGTAGTATGGGTTTGATTTGTGGATTGACAATTGAGAGTTATTGGTATTATGGAGTGGTGGTGTAGTGATGAATAATGGTTTATTGAATCTCATGGATTGTGTTGCATTGAATGATGTAGAGTTCCTGTTTAACTATGTTCTAATGTTATTATCCTATGTAAACCCACCATGTTATATATTGCATGTATTTAATGACTGACTCTTTCTATGTTGTCTTGTTTACTCAATCCGTGGTAACCGGGTTGTAGGTGGAGCTCAGGGATAAGATATTGCAGAGTCATGGAGTGAACTAGCTTGCTTTGATTGTGGCGTGTTATTTCCGAGTTTTCTAGTAAAATGTTTAGGTTGATATTGGACCCGTTTATGAGAATTATTCACTTATGTTTACTGTTCTTTTTATGGATTTAAAAGATTAGTACTTTAGAATTATTGTGTTGTTTCTCCTTTGTAGGATTTTATCGATACTATTGGAGTATTCCTGGTTGAAAGGAAATTTTCAATGATATGAAATTTCATTATGTTAGAAAATGAATTAAATTTTCCGTGTTGATAATTTGAGGTGTTACAGAATTTATTTGGAAATAGGCAAAATTCTTGCTCCAGGTAAAAATTAGTCATTTAATTATATAATCAATAATTATTTTTTTTGGTGAGAATATCCATCAATTTATACAATTCATTATATATTTATTTCCACAAGTATACATTTCAAATAATGCTTTAAATTTATTTTTTACTACTATAACATGGTCTTTCACCAAGACACATTTTGTATTATTTATTAACTATTGAACATTAACGCTAGTATAATATATATGTATATTAAATTTTATTAGTAAGCGATTTAATTAGTAAACTATTTATTGAACCACTATATTATCATACCAATATCCTAACCGATATAATATTAATAACACGAAAAGTCATATTTATCTTTCTTTTTTTTGTTTGTTAAGTTTTGATAGTATATCTGACCTCCTAGTCACTTTGATACCAAACATAATACTATGACTTCTTCCTTCATAAACTTCAAAGTAAATTACACTCATACCTCCTGAGATTTACTGAAATTACATAAATTACCCCTTACTTTTTTGTCATTACACGAACCACCCCTAATTTTGTACATATGTTACACTAACTACCCTTGCATGATATAAAAGTGTAATATTTTAAACAAAAAACGTATAATGTGTGTAATTAATTAAACAAAATATTGTATATTGTGTAGACAAATTCAAATAATATAAAAGTCAATGCGTCTTCATTATTTGGCTCGTTATAAAATAGTATAAGAGTTATTTAAATATTTGTTTGAAATTTATAATATATTTTTTAATGACACAAAAATAATAAAGAAACACACGCTTTTGTACTATTTGAAGTGTACACAATATACAATATTTTGTTTAACTTAATTACATTCATCACACGTTTTTTCTTTAAAATATTACACTTTTATAACATGCAGGGGTAGTTAGTGTAATTTATGTATAAATCTAGGGGTAGTTTGTGTATGAGGGAGGAGTGGTTGGTGTAAAGACAAATAATGGAGGGGTGATTTGTGTAATTTCATTAAAACTCAAAGGTTGTGAGTATAATTTACTCAAAATTTATGGAACATTTAATGTATTGAAAAGATGCTTGTTTTCTTTCATTTTCATTCGTTGTTCTTTAATTGCATATTGCCAAGAGAAAGTTGGATTAATAATTAAACACCATCTTTCCCCAATTACAATCTTTGAGTATTCGATTGAATCTTACTTTTTCGAAAATCAAATTGGTACATACGTTTAAAGACCAAATGATTTTATGTAACATGTTTTAATAGTGGAAATTAAAAAGGAACAATTTACTATGAATAGATCTGGGCAACTTACTAAATTATAAGAAGTAATGATCTATAATGCTCAAACATACCTTTGACTGAAGTTTTCATAACTTAATTAAGTGACTTACTAATTGTTAAAATTTAATAAATCAATAATGAATTTCAGAAACAAAACAAAACGTCAATTCTCAAATAAAATCATCATATCAAGACATGACACCAAATAAAATATTTAAATTGTGTGTTTACCAGTGTGATGAAAAATTGAAAAACTTAAAATAAAAAACTTTTTTATATTTACCAATTTTACCCCCTAACAAGGACTATAATGACCCACAATTACAATATTTAGGTACTAGATTGAGTATTTCAGTTGTTACTTTTTCATGAATTAAATTGATACAGGTGAAATTTTTTTAAGGAGCAAAGTAAATATTTATCTAACAGGTTTTAAGAGTGGAAAAAGGAAGCACTTACTATGAATAGATCTTGACTAGTGAGAATGTAGTATGCTTCTTTCTGCTCACTTCAAATGAGAATTCCTCAAAACATCACAATTGATCCAAGCTCTGTGCAAAAGTATTTATATACTGTAAGTTGCGTGTAATTAACAAATATTATATTTTTATTAAATATATATAACAAAAGAAGATGAAGATTATAATGTCACAGCTCCTATATTAAATATGGTTTTAATAACCATTTAAGTGATTAAGAAACCCACCAAGAGCATTCATACCCAACAAGTAAAAGCTACAAGATTTCAGATCTTTGGCTAGAGGAATTTGGGATTGTAATGATAAGATTTCACCAACAAATTGAAAATGAACTTAAATAAGAGGGTTAAGGTTATGAAGATGAGTTGATTCTATTCATTGCATGTAAGGTTGGTAGTGAAATTTGGACTTGGAGGTGTTGTGGTGTTGCAATTTTGAGAGGAGAATTGATTTTGGCTTCAAAACAATGGTGGGGTGCCTTTATATAATAGAGACTTGGTTGGTTGAAATGGAGATTATTACTAAAGATAATTTACTAAAGGATTAAAATAAATTCACTGTGAAATCTAAAGAAAAATAAGGGGTATCTTGTTCAATTATGGAGAGGTGTAATAAATATCCGGAATCCACTTATCATCTTTTCTCATCTTGCAATCTGACCTATTCCATATGGCAATTAATTTACAATTGGTTGAACATCAGCGTCACTTTGCCTATTGACCCAACCCTTCATTTCATTAATTACATGGACATGGTTAAAGATAGGAAACGTTGGAAATTATGGTGTGTCATCTAGTTAGCTACAATTTGGGCTATTTGGTTGTCGATTTGATTTTTAATTCAATCAAGCCCTCTCTCTGCCAAATCTTCGAACCAGCAAGGGTAAAAGTGTGGTTATAAACCAAGAGTCAAAAGTAGATTTAACCCATTATTTATTCTAATTGGATTGCGAAATCAATTAATTGCCTTGTAATTTTTTTTCCTTTTTTCCTTTCTTTTTTCTCTTATCTTGTAAATTACTCCATTCTAATAAAATTGAATTATTTTGCCGATAAAAAAAAGAAATCTAAAAAAAAACAAGAAATAATATTTGTAAATTCAAAATTAATTAGAAAATAATTACAGCAGAAGATGTAAAATAATTGGTGTTAACACGAATTTGTGATATTGCCAAACAACAAGGACTGCAAGGACGCCAAGGGCATCTTATCACTTTATTAGGTTTCAAAACATCAATTACCCTTTTTTCTTCCAACACGAAATAAAACTTCATCCAAATGATAGGTAATAAAAGGCAAAAAATCATTTTGAGCTATAGGTAATGTCTCAATCAATCATTTAATAATTCACATTTCAAAAAAGAAACGTTTGATATTGTCTAATTATAATATGTCACTGAATTATATTTTACAGGTTGGTAACATTATTGTTTTAATAAACCACCGGAAATATCTTATCACTATAGTAATTCCACTTTATTAGGTCTTAAAACATCACCAACCCTATTTTCTTTCCTTTGTCCATTACATATATTAGTGTTTGGTGTCTCTTAATCCATGCTCTTAAGAATATTATTAACAAATTTAAAAATATATATTAATAATATATTGATAAGAAGAAACACTATGAGATGAGATGAAATGAAGAGAAAGAAAAATTATTTTAAGAGTTATTTGATATAAGAAAAAGAGAAGAAGAAAGAAAAGAGAAAGAAGATGTTGTTGGTCTTAGAATATAATTATGAACCCCTAAAGAAAAAGAAATGGTATTTGTCAATTCAAAATTACTTAGAATATAATTACAGCAGAAGATATAAAATAATTGGTGTTAACACGAATTTGTGGTATGTGATGAATATGTTATCAATACTTATATATATTAAAGTACTTATATAGTATGTTATTATTTAGTGTTTATTACCCCACCATGTGATATTGCTGGCTCTGCATGTGATATTGAAGTACTTAGTACGTTGCAATTTGATTAACATTCCCTCAATTAGCTAAATGACCCCAACATCTCTATTTGAATTTGCTTTCACTAATACTATCACGTGAAATTTGATTAGCATTAAGCATATATCAAGAAGAATATAATTGATTAAAAGTTAAAGTGGTGAAGGATAATTGATTATTTTTGTTAGTAAAAAGTAGCAAAGCCACAAAACTCAAGTGGGTCATCAATGCATATCTTTGATTAAAAGTTAAAACCATCTTTGTTCCACACAGGACAGAAATGATTGTGATTCATTGGGAGGGTATCTTCCTACTCTATTTTCTAATCGATGAAGGCATCACCCTACTTAGCTAAGTACACCCTCCACCAGTAAACCCGGATCATACCGACCGGTTTAACCGAAAATCCGGTGAATCGCCCCTCATACAATTATGGTATAACAATTCTACTGGTTATGCAATCATATTGATCAAAACCAGCTAAACTCAGTCATATCAACTTGTTTTTAATTGAACCATATCGGTTATACCGACCGATTTTCATTTGAAATTAATTTTTTAATGAAAATGTATGACTTATTTTTTTACCAAAATGTTGATATGAATGATCAAATACATAATTACTACGTTTGTTTTCAACATTAATGCTAGTATAATATATATGTATATTTAATTTTATCAGTAAGCAATTTAATTAGTAAACTATTTATTGAATCACTATATTATCATATCAGTATCATGACCGATATAATATTAATAACACGAAAAGTCAACTTTAGGTATATCTTCTCTTTTTTTTTTTGGTTAAGTTTTGATAGTATATCTGACCTCCGAGTTATCTAACCTAATACTATGATTTCTTCCTTCATACACCTCAAAATTTTATTGAAGATTTAAAGTATTAAAAAGAGGTTTGTTTTCTTTCATTTGCATTCATAGTTCTTTTTTTTAACTAAGAGCCAGCAATTACATTGATTTTTTTTATATTGCCAGAGAAAGTTGGGTTAATAATTAAACACCATCTTTCCCCAAACTTGACCTGATCATTCACCTCCCTCTTCCATGAAGAGATTTTTTTTATTTTTTGTTGTTTTTAGGAGATCAATTTGAGTCTTTTAGTTTCCAAAATATAAAAAAGGCTGGACAAAGTTACAATTTAAAATTATATGTTAAATATAGATAAAGGATTTTTTTTAAGAATATAGAGGGAAGAAGGCTATATCAAAATTGAAAAAGTTACCAACAATCAGATTGATGAGATGTTAAGAAAAACTTGTTCCAATCCAATTTTAACTACTCATTCTACACGTACGTCATGCAATTATTCCAAGCTTAATTTTGGCACTAATTCAATATAATTATTAAGAGAAAAAATATATGCACCGACAGTGTATTAGTTTTATACATTATCATTATATAATTCACTATTTAAATTTAATTATTATCGACTCTTCAAAAAGTAATTCAAATGAATGATAAATAATGTAGTGATTATGTATAAATATTTGTAAACATCTAATTTTGACCGACTCAAAATAATTTTTCAAAAAATTGACAAATAAATAATATAAATATTTTTGGTTATTTTCTATTGGAAAATAATATTTTTAGGTGTCCAAAGCAAAAATAATTTAAATTCAAATGTTTAATTTATGGTTTTTATTAAATTCGAAGTTTAAGTTTTAAACATAATAATGATGAAAATTTTGATTTTGAATTAAAACAAAATTATTGATTTATTATTTATGTGGAGAAGAATAATTTCCCTAAACTTCCTCCAATGAATTAATTAGGAGATTCTCTAAACTATTGCGGAAGGAAAACGATGAACGAGAAGATCTTTGTGGCATTGCCATGGATCCTTCATTTCTCATTATATAAGTAGTTTCTTAAATAATCCATTATTGCATGATATAATGATAAGTCAATATACTTTGTCTTTTCTTTCTCTTACCATGAATTTCATGTTTGTATTTCTATTGATTCTGAAGCTTTTAATTAGGGTTTTCACAGCTGGATTAGAATAGTTTTAAAATAAAAATTATTTGATCCAAAGAAATAAATTATATGTAGTATTGTTTGGTTTGGTTGATTTACATTAATAAATTTAAAAGTGTCAAGTTTATATAAAAAATATATCTATTTCAAAAAATAAGTTTAATACGTTTTCAAATTGCCAAATTCATATAAAAATCAATAAGTCTACTTCAAGACTACTAATACCAAATTTGATACACAAACATTAAATTGAAACTTAATATATTCATTAGATCTAAAAATAAAAAATACAAAAAATTAAGAATGACAAAAAAATAAAAATAACAGGAAAAATAAAACAACAGGAAAACAACACGGAAAACAACATTTAATTATAATATAGTCATATATATTTATTATTAAAAAAATACTTTAACAAATAAGTAATAACCAATGTTATCATAATCAAATCTCACTGGAAGGCATATATAATTATATTTATCATGTAATTAATGATAATGTGAATAGCACATTTATCAATATTATGTTTTGCATTGCAAATAAAAATAAAAATGTATCAAACAAGTTTAAGTCTTACATAGTATTATATATTATACATGTAAGTGTTAATTGGGATGGAAAAAGAAATGAAGAAAAATGAGGTTTAATGTTTTGTAACACCCCTTAATGATGCATGTAATCTTTCAACCCCCTCAATCATGAGACAAAATTTTCATAAATACAAATTATATCTAACATTTTTTAAGTGACAGAGTATATCAAGTTATCAACCATCGAACTAACGTGTCTTATAACCAAAATACTATCATGGATCATAACCATCATATTATAAACATCTACATGTCTTATAAAACAAAGTATATCAACCATTTATCTAATTTTTCAGTCAGATCTTCACATAATACAACCAATCAACCAATATACGCTTTTTAAAATTCATTATTAAAAATTATAAAAAGATGAAAATATTAGTGTCAAAATTGCACAATTTTAATATATTTAATCAAATAAATTACATATTTCATAATTAATATTATGTTATTCAATTTAGAAATCATCGAATGATTAAGTCGTTGTCATTGTTATTAAACACTTTTTGCTAAGTATAAGTCAATCAACAATCATTCGTCCATGTATCTCCCAGTCACTTACGCAACCTTTTTATTTATTTATAATTTTCGCAGTTGAAAAACTTATTTCTACAATTATATTGCTAACTTCAAAAGAAAATAAACTAATAAGTAAACAATATGTCTTCCACTTTCAACCAACTTATCAATTGTTATGCATATCAATGATACAAGTCTCAAGTTGATTATCAAACATCACCAAATCAGTTGAACAAAAATCATGTAAATAAAACTATGCAAATTTAACCAGTTTTTCTATATCAAAACTAGATTAGAAATCTGCTAGATTCAAACAAGACATATAAAGATGTAGTTGATTATTTGTCTTGATGAAATAGTTATGAAACAT